TTTTAGTATATTAGATTGATAAAAAACACTGTAGTTATAATATTATAAATTCAAAAAATGATATATGACATGTGTTTTTATATAATTAATTCTTTTTATTTAAAAGTTTTGTGTTTTTATATAATTAATTCTTTTTATTTAAAAGTTTACTCATAATATTATATATATCTATTCATCTACTATTATATTATATTCAATTAATATTATGTTATAGTCATAAATGTATAATCATATATGATATTGTAATTATAACATTATTGTTAAATTGATTACTAGAGGTAATTCTTTTTCTTGGTGGTTATGTTTCCCTTTTATTTACCATTTTATATTTCAAAAAATTATTGTTAAATTTCTTCTAGCCAATAGCTTCTATGTTTTAGGAACTTTTTTGGTCAATTTGAGGTTTTTGTAGATTTTTTTATTAGAATAAAAATTCACTTATATATAAATTTTACACATTACATTTATACAAAATTTTAACTATTTATTTTTTTACTTTTTACTATTGAAATTTATTCATATTTATTAAAAATAATTTTTTTTACTTAAAAAGTCGTAATAAATCTTAACTATTAAATAAATCTTAACTATTAAAAGTAAAAAAATGAATGATTAAAATTTTGTATGAATGTGTTGTATAAAACTTGTATGTTAATAAATCTCTCCTCTTTTTATTATTATTATTTTGAAGTTTAAACTATATAATAAGAGATAACCTTTTACTACTCTACCCATATATCATACAATTAAAAACCAAGATCTCTTACTTTACTTGAGTCTAGAAGAAAAAATTAATTATTTAAATTGTTGGCTTGTAATTTTTTTTAATTTTTTTGAAATGTGCGATAATGTTTTTAGATTAATTTATGTACAATTTGAGATTAAATTCCTTTTTAAAAATGAGATATCCCTCACATAGATCTAATACACTAAAAAAGAAGATGATTCTTTTGTTACTCTTCCGGCTATTAGCTAAGATTAAGGTCTTGTGACTTGAGGTTGTGTTTAAATCGCGTTTTCTATGCATTTTGTCCATTATTTTCTTATTGTTTTATATTTCTTTATTTGTTCATTATTTCTTGTATTTTTGTAATTATTCTATTTAGTGGTGATGTATTCTGTACACTGTACTAAATATAATTTTTAGTGTGCAGCATGTATTTCACATAAAAAATGTTTTTCAGTTCATATTAGCAAATATTGTTTGTCCAAATAACTACAGACATGTGATGTAGAAAAATATTTGGTTAAATTCAACCGTAGCCGTGCCAACTAAACTCATAAATTAAATTTTTTTTTTTTGGTTTTACAAAATAATTATATTACATTCATATGTATATATATTATTTATGTTGGTTGCACAACAAGAGGTAACCTTTCTCATCCCTCTTCCAATCTCATTTATATATCATGTAATTTAAATTTAAAATTTTTTATTTTCAGTGACAAGAGATTACCACTAAACTATTTAAGTCGTTAACATATTACAATCATATATTAAAAATAAAAATTAATATTAATTGTTGAGGACCACAGTGCTACGACAGTAAGTACTCACCAGTGGAATACGATTGTGGTTGGCGAATTCATAAACTAAACCGAACATGTTCTTCGTAGTGGAATCAAAAGGACATAAATTGATTTAATTTTGCATTTAATAACCACCAAACAATTTCCTCGAAGTGGAATCTAAAGGACATAAATTTATTTAATTTTGAATGTAGTGCAATAGGCAGACAAGACAACAGTTGGATGCTTGTATCAGCAACTTACAATAATTTTTTTTTTTTTTCCTGGAAGCTCACGATCAACTCCATCAATACTTAGGAAAAGAAAATTAAATCTTCTTAAGAGTTCTCCAACTTGCAGACTCAATGAATATCTGGGAAGCAAAAACCCTAGGGAAAAAAACAGATGATGCAATGAAATCTAAGGACATTTACGATACTTTTTGCCATTCTTCTCGGTCGTACGGTTAGCATAGCAAGGGCAGACATTGTAGTTGCCAGATGTGCCCGGAGGGACACAGTTGCACTCATGGCAGCAGCTGCCGCAAGACCTCTTGCACAGGTTAGGCCTCTTTGATGATTTGCATCTGCCTTCACACGCCTTCCCGCAATCTGAATGAATTAATAGAACATATTTGAAATAAGAAACACTTCAAAAGATAGCGTATTTAGTACAAAGATTCGAACACTTATGTTATATAAAAGAACAAAAGAAGGGTAAAAGTTATTATTCATACTTAGAAGTGTTAAAAATTATATAATTTTTCATCATATTTTTTAAAATACTTAGGAAAAAAATTGCCATATTTATGTTACCTTAACACTTTTTAATGTGGTGTTAGCTTTAATCATGGCCCAAAAGAGAAGCTACATATTTACTAACAAGCTACGTTAATTTAATCCATCAAAAAAACAAGCTAGATTTAAGGTTTACCTATATTCTGACTTGGTGAAGGAGCTGGTGCCTCACTGGTACCCTTCTGCAAAAACAGATCAACTTGAAAATGTAATTATTGTGAAAAGAAAAAAAAAAACGATCTTTGTATCCATACTTGATAAAGAGAATTGGTGAAAGGGTATTACCAATTGGGCTTCAGTGACATGAAGAAACAAGAGAGAGAGAAGAACAAGGGCAGCAAGATAACTCCTTGAGAAAGCCATATTTTAGAAGTAAGAGGAAGTAAGGGGGCAGAGACTCTTGAGTCTATGGAAAAGATGGAGAAGTAAGATTTGGTATCAAAACTTGACAAAGATAGTGTATTTATAGCAGTGGAAAAATGAATGTGTTTCACCAGTCTCCACATTGCAAATTTTTTTTAAAAAAAAAAAAAAAAATTAAGGAGCCTCCGGGAAGGTCATGAGCCCAGGCTAGCTGTCAATGAGTAGATGTCCATGTGACTTGCCGGTCCAATAATTTGACGCTAAATCAGCATTAAAGGACACTAAAATTACTATAAAATTTGTTTACAGGGTCTCTAGGGACAGACACAATTCCAGACGACCCCAGCAGTGCCAGACAGTGCCAGACTGTGCTCTACCATGGAATGGAACTACATAGTTCCCCACTTGACTCTTTTTTTTTTTTTAGCACATGGAATGGAACTACACATTTACCCACTTGACTGTTTTTTTTTTTCTTCCTTTCTTTCTTTTTACCTTAACAGTTATCTGTGTAGTGTTACAAAGATTTAAACATTTAATTTTGATGTAATATTAAATTTTTTTTAATTAGTTGATACCAAACTTAGTTAAACACTAATGAATATCTAAATAGTTACTATGTGTGGTGATCTAGCTTTGAGTAATATGGTTGATTTGATGAGTTGTCAACTGGGAAAAGGCTCTGCTTGTCTAATTGAGTTTTTCAATCTTTTCATTTTTTATTGTTACATTAACAATTAACAATCAAATGGCTTTACTCCCAAGGTAGGTGTTAGGATCGTTCCGAATCTTGTCTTGAAATCTGTGAGGCCTGTTAGATGAGAAGTCTGTAAATGAGATAAATTGTAAAAAGAGCATGTGGATGTTATAATGTTCTGTTTGGTTAAGGGAATGTACAATTTTTTTTTTATCAATTTATAAAAATACAATAAATTTAAGAGTAAACAAGCTTCAAAATTAATTATTTTATGGTAAATTAAGGATGAATGAGAAATGCATACTATCATATCTCTTTCTAAGAATCATTCCTCTTTAATTTTGCCTATATCTTCTTCTTAGAAAAAAAGAACTGATTTAAGACCTTTTTTTTTCTTGTAATTTTTATATTTTATAGATTAGTACAATTTAGATTGCATAATAATTTTTTCTTTTTATATATATAATTGGATAAATAAAAAAGTTATTTCTCTAGTCTAATAAGCACCTTTTTTTTTGTAATACCTACACCCTGAATGAGGATTGAATGTTCATGGGCCATGCCCATATCTATGGAATCAAATCAACATCGGAATTTTAATTCCATACATAGGCCTAAGAAGAAACACTGGGCTGTCATTACTTGGCCCACATTTTGCTTTACGATCATCAACGAGTATGAAGGCCCACATTTTGTTGAATAAAAAATAAAGTCAATACTAGGCCCAACCCCAAACAGTTAAAAATAGGTAATAAAACGTATACAGATGATAATAGTGCACGGTCCGGTCTGTTGAATACAAAGGCAATTAGGTGAGCACGCGTTTAACTTCCCCATGGTTAGGTGCAATTTTGGAAATAATTTTTCATGTCAACGCATTTATTTATTATTTTTTATGTTGTGTAAGGGGGCTGGAGTCTTTTAATAGAAAACAGAGTTTTTTTTCTTTTTTTTAAATAACAATAATAGAAAACATAGTTTTTTGTTTATATATTTGAGATAACATATATCATATTACTTTAAAATTTAACAAGAATAATTCATAAAAATAAATTGTTAAATTCAATAGTTAATTTGATAAAACACAAATTATATAAAACTTATTAACTAATATAAATAATAATGTAAGTTACATTAATATAAGTTGATTCCCAATCATGTTTCATATTATGAAAGGGGATTTGACCCTTATAAGCAGGAGGATGTCAACTGTATTTGATCATAGCGGAGCTTATAATCAAATGTAATCGAGTTTAAGATTTTTTTTTTTTTTTATGTTGGTTGTACAATAAAAAACAATTATTTTTCATCATTTATTACACATCGTCTGCATGTCATGTGAGTTAAATTCAAAATCTTTTACTTTTAACAAAAGAAAATTACTATTAAGTTATTTGAGTTGTTGACCGAGTTTAAGATTTTTTGTTTAGAATATGACATATTAAAAGATTTTGAGTTCAAACATAAAATAAAAATAAATAAGTGATCAACATATATCAAATGTTTAAGTTTCATAAAGTTAAGCCCTAAGAAAATTACTAATTGAATCCAACTAAATGTAGCTTTGGCTTGCACTAACTCTAGTTAGCTCAATTCGGTGCATACATGACCAAAACCAAAAAGTAATTACCCCCAAAAAAATTACTTATCAAAATTGTTAAGGACAGAAGATCCAATGAAAAGTCTCTCACGTGGACGGACAGATTGAACTCTCC